GCTTTCATGGTACACTCAACTTAATTTCAGCAGAATCTTTCGTTTATGATATTCTGCAGCCAAATGTGTCACACAAAGGCCGCCCCATATTTCTTTCTATGCTCTACTTCAGGCGAGTCTCCCGTAAAAGACACCTGGAACACAAATTGGTGTAGCTGTCAAGCGTCATGCGACTTGGTTTACACGAAAGCAGGAGGTCATCGGAAGCTCGGGAATTCTGCTTACTTAATGACCTTTCAGGAAAGCAAGACCGGTCCATGGCTTTCGACGAATTCCCACCCAACGAGAGCGTAGTTCCTCACGTGACAATTACTGTATCCCTTTTGAAAAAGCTTTGGAACCAAACAGTATATACATTTCTCGGCAACGTTTTGATTTCGACACAAAGGGTTCGTGAGGCGAAGTGACTGTTCAAGAGTTCAGGTGGAATAAAAGCCAACCAGATAAGTCAGACTAAAAAAGAGCAAAGTGTCAGTCGAGGAACAGTATTTATTGGGGTACCAGCAACGGTTAAGAACGATGGGAAAATTACATGGATTTGGGTCCAGCTTAGGGTCTAGTTTCTCCGGTTTGTCTCCCGTGCAGATTCCTTTCGAAGGTGGCCTACAAATTTTGTCCCAGAATGTGGACTGGCTGGTGCTAATAAATAGCCTAAGGGAGGGGATATTTTTCGTTTTCGTCGGATTATTATTTCTGCAACAAAGATTGTTCCGATGATTCCAAATGATGAACCTAAACGTCACGCATCTACTCGGTTTATCTAAGACAGCTCCCTATACACCCGCCACTCAAATACCTTATAATATATTTTATTCTATTACATTTTGTACCTTAATATAATATAATATATTATCATACTGGATTATCTTATATAGAATAATATCGCATTTCATTATATAATAATTTATGATATTATATTCGCAATGTGATAATTGGTGATTTCCGCCGCTGCTTGTTAAGTAATCCTTAGTCAAAATCACCAGGCATATAATTTCGTGGAATCAGTTAGTAACCTCCATTTAGGCTGCTGTTTGAATGACTTCTACTTTGCAAGTAATCTGGCTCGATTACATATTGATGAGACGATAATGAGTTATGCGGACTAAGGGATATTCGTGTCTGAAATTCTCAAATAGAAAATAGGTTTCAATATCCCGTGTGCCATACAGTCCAGGAAATGTAGTGTGCTCGAAATGGCTGTCACTATGCTAAATTTGATATGAGGATTCGATGTACTGAAATACTCGTGGCCGTTGTCGACCTCATCACTTTTGATTACAACAATAATATCATTAATATAAAGCCAGACAATTCTCGTCGATCAACAACGTCCGGTCAAAGCTGCATTTTTAAAAAAATACTTGATATGCATATTAGCTAAAACTGAAGACATAACAGCACTCATTACAGGACTTTGATCTTGTGAGTAAAGAGCTGCGCCAGATTAAACATGCATTTATTCTTTCATATATTTCAGCCACAATGAGCTTTGCCGGTTCCCTAAGTGTTGCATCTGCTAACAACAACAACCAGTTACTACGTCAAAAGAATCCGCACCGGTAAATTCCTATACATAGAGACGACTTCACTGTTCCCGAGGAAATCTACAACCTCCAAATCAAGTACTGCAAATTTGTTGGCAAATCGTACTAATAATCAAAAGTGGCGCTTGAACTCTGAAAGTGCTGCTATGACACCAGATATGAATCTGGTTAGCTCATGTGGTGGCAAACCTACACCATTAGTTATTTGTAGTATCGGAATATGTGACTTGTGGATTTTAGCAGTTGGAGCCGCGGTTGAGCCCGAACGTTTTGGGTACAGCAGGTACCGGTGACGGCGCCCTCATTTTATATTGGTTTCAAAAATTCATTAATTTCAATAATACATTTATAACATTATTATATCCCATTGATGAGATATCTGACATTTGAGAGATAGAATCTCCTGTTCATTAGAATTTCCTCTCGCTCTGATAGTGCAATATTCGGAGCTCCGGGTTGTTTGGATCTTAGAATGGGTGCATCCAACAAACGGCGTCACGCTATGTGTGACTCACTGAAAGTGTTTATCACTAAGGGATTTTATAGTTCATTTAGATTTTTTGCAATCCATGTAGTCAAACTACTGAATGCAAAAACTGATCATCCGACTGTCATACCTCAGAGTTCAAACTGTGAGCTTCAGTTAATGAATAAGTTTTTTCACGTGTGGAAAGTATAAAATTCGATTGTGAGTTACCAGTGTTGCCGTAGCATAAAATGCTTTTATGGGTTGTAAATATCCCCATGAATATTCAATCATCCACAAGGTGGAAACGCACATACTTTAACGCAAACACCTTTCTGCTTACTGCAAGTGACGCATATCTTTACGTGATGCTTGTGATTTTGTGGTTGAACTAAGGACTCTCATTGACGTGAGATGACGAGGTGCCGTGTGTTTTGGCAACCATAACTCATGTGAGCACAGTCAAAATTTGTCGCATTGAACGTCCCTTCCTGCGCAATAGTAAAGTGAAAAACATAGATGACGCAATATGCTAAAAGCTTTCACCTTTGTACCTATTCCTAATACAATCTACATGACTGATCGATAGCCGGTTTTCTCATTTCGGAATAAATTTGCAGACGATGGGTTACCTTCTGGATACTCTTCAAAATTAAGAGTCGTTTACGTTATCAATCGGCACAAACTGGTATTATGTTTGCTACAGCGTACGCCTGTATATATGATGGCGCAGATATCTTCCAGTTATTCCAAAGAAATACCTGGAATTCCGCGATGCATTGGCACACAAATATTCCGTATTGATGACCAGGGGTAAATGTTTGGCAATCTCTCCCATGTACTCCCGTGTAAACGTTATTCTTCTGTATTTGCAAAGTCGTACGGCTCCTTACGACAAACCATCAATACCAAGTGTCCTTAATGAACTGTGCGCTAATTTCTTTAAAAAGACAATAGACTGTAGTGCCAGAACGAATTTTAGGCCATTTAATGTATAGTGGCGCGTCACTTTAATAGTCCACTGTTATGCTTCCTTCCCGTTCGTTACCAGGCATCAAGCCTTTAGCTTCCTTGCTCATGTGATGAGTTATACTGAGTAACTTGTCACTACCAAGGTGACCAGATAGTCATATGAGATCTGCAACCGCAGGTAACGCCACCTGTGGTGATGGTGATACCCATTTCCGCCTCCCATGATTACATGGCAAGTACATCGAACCACAAGTGCCACGTTCTCTGAAAGACCCCGTCTCCTCAAATATTAATGGTCAGCTCAGACTACAATATCCTTCCACGATCCGTCTCACCTGTTGGTCATTTTAGAATGCCACCTATCCCGTACACACCTTTCTGCAACATATCTCTTTCCACACCACCTGACAATGTGAAGGACTGCACGTCCCAAAACGCCCCTTTCAACTACATGCAATTTTTCCAGATACCTTCCTGTAGCCCAACATTTTCCTAACTCAACAATGAGCTAGGTCAGTAAATTTTAAATTGTACGGTACGGTTCGCTCCCCAATGGATCTATCGGTGCTACGATATAATGCTTGTTCACTGCTTCCAAAATCCCATGTTATCGAGCCATTGTCGCCATTGTACGACCAAACCTGATTTGTGTGAATGAAGCATGACTATCAGTTCCAACCTCAGATAGGAATGTGTCAAACCCTGATCATAATATCCACTGGTGTGACAGGAAAACGACTTACGAGGCGAAGGACGTGCTATCAATTCAAAATGACTCCAGCCTCGAAGGGATTCCAGAGTACATCTGGATTTCCTAATGACAGAACAAACGGCTTGAATTAGTAAGTTTTATTTATCTATTCCCGCCCACCGCTTCCACCACCATTGCTGACTTGTCCCTTATGATCTCTCCTCACGTTCGTCTAAGTTTGGGCTGGATGACTTCAAACTACTAAATATTTCTTGGTCCCTTAGTTTGTGCCCTAATTGTTACGCCCGACTGCTTGCCCAATTTCATTTAAAGGGTTGACCCCAGATTGTACGCAGCCCCAATACCGACCTACATAATCTAGACCTATTATTCTCATCTGGAAAGTGCCGCAGTTGGCCCATGCACTTCAGGAAGTGATCAATGCGTTGCTTTGTGCAACGCAGTCAGTTATGTCGCAACTGCCCCTAGTTCTTTCCTCTTTCATATCCTCTTTTCCAGTAGAAACAATCTATTGTTTGCCTTCATTTCAAATCCGGATATGGACGAACTACTTCCAACTACAGAGGGATCCATTATGCCCCCATTGATGCGAACCTTCGAAAGTCTGGTATAGCATTCTGTCTACCCAAAAAGCTACATTACGTGTAGTGTGGGGACAAGAAATAAAAAAATAACGCTAGATTTGTTATACATTAATAAACAGGTCAAATAGAACAGACTAACTAATAAGTGTTCCATTTAAAACAGTTCTCTGTTGGTTCGAGTAAGTAGGTAAATAATAATCCCATTAGAGTTTTACTGGGGCGTTCTTTCAGTTGTCACATACGAGGATTGTCTGAGCATCCCCTTTCTGTTCGCATTTTCCCAGTGATGGCTGCTGGCAGATTACCTCAACTGAGCTTTTTCACCAGATATGCTATTTTGGTTCCACATTTTCTGCAATTTATAGATTTCCTGTCATGTGTTTGTCGGAATGCTTCTTGTCTTCCTCTCTATCGTTTTGTTTTTGCCAGCCACCTTCAAGTCCTAACAACCGGATCATGCTCCAACTCGATATTTCCTCCTAGAGATAAATAATGCTATCATATATGCATGCCTGCCCGTGACGTTTTAGAGGTGACCAGGTCTACGTCGAATAGTACCGACAGTTTGTAGCACCTTCCCATTTCCGCGCAATCCCCGTACCCACACTTCCCGCCATTCATGCTCTATTCTGACTGTAACAGTATGAACATGCCTGAGGTTATGCCACCCACCGTTTAAGATCGAACAGTATTACTGTTATATTGGCGGAGTAAATATATATATGCTTAGGTTCGCTGTATTCGCCATCGGCCCACAACCTCCTGTGAATAGGTTGAATCTCCTCATTGAACGCGACACCTATTCAACGTTAGTATCAATCTGGGACGCAGCAGAATGCATAGTTTTCAAGCTGTTTCTTATTTATTTCTACGGGTTATCCAGTAGCGTAATAATAATGTGTATTCCAAACTAGTGTGTGGCATATCCTGAGGCATGATCACGTGATTACGGCCAGAACCAGGCACGACTGAACAAATGTGTGGGCACTAGGGATTGCACGAAAAAGACAACGTCATAAACAATAGGCAATATCCGATGAAGACTTGAACACGCCCAAACCGGCACGAGAAATCAAACACAATCACCAGGAGTTTATCCTGGACCGACTCTTGTAGAGCTGCACCTATAGCGATGTTTGACGCATCAACAGCAATTGATAAATGAGCGTCAGGTTCTGGACTAAATAACGTCAGACAATCGATCAGCAAAGATTTACCCTGTTGGAAATCTCGTTTAAGAGAATCAGCTTAAGAGAGGAGGATTTCCAGCTAACAGGATGCCAAATGATTCATCGCGCTCGGAATTAAACAGCGATGAAAATTTATCATACCCAGGAAACGTTCGACTTGCTTAACAGGCGTGGGGAGAGAAAATTCCGGATAGCATCTGGCATACCGATGGCTGGTGAAATTCCGGTCTTTTCAATGGTATGTCTGAGAATTGTCAGTGACGAGGATGCCAAAATGCATTTCTGAACAGTAATCACCACGTCATGTTCAGATAGACGAGTAAATAAGTTATGCAAATGTTCTAAATGCTTTTTAGATGTGTGGCCAGCAACCAAATTGTTTTCGAAATAAGCAAAAACAAAGGGAAAGCCGTTTAGTAAATAAAACGTTGAAAGTTTTGTGCAGCATTATGAAGTCTAGAACGCATGCGTAGAAACTCAACTAACCCAAAAATTGTGGTAATAGCAGTGTTATGGAAATCTTCGTGGTATGTGAGATATGATGGTAAGCACGGAGAATGTCAATGTGGGAAAAAACGGTGCTTCCCTGCAATGTGGAAGAGAAGTCATGAAGGTGTGAGATGGGGTAACGGTTAGGGATGCTGATACTACTGAGAGCTCGGTAGACCCCGCAAGGACGCCGGTCTGAATACGTTTGCTTAAGCGCCATATGGGGGGGTGAAGTCCAAATAATTTGAGAAGGTCGGATGATTCCTATTTGAATCATGTGTGGGAATTCGTTGATGGAGTTAAACGGCATAGGCGTGTAAAAACCGGAAAGCCACGCCTAATAATGTGATGGATGGCAGAATACTGGGTTGGGGTTGATGAAAATTTGATTTAGTTAAGTCTGATAATTGAAGTAGAAGCGTGTGATTAAGTGCTTTTAAAACCGGTGATTGGATAGATGGAGGGCAGAACGATAGAGTGTCCTTTCGTAGGCAGTTGAGTAGTTGCGTCAAAAAGACGTTATTTTAATCTGGTCCACTAAAAGTTTGAAATGAGTTAGGAAATCTGCACCGATAATGGGATTCTGGACGTCCGCAATTACGAGGATCCATGAAAAATGGCGGCCTAATCCCAGGTTTAGTCGTAGAGTGCGCTGTACGTAAGTTTGAATTGGAGAAGCATTCGCGGCCATTAGTGTAAAAGGAGAAGCGATCTGTTTGCAGGAAGCGGCGGTTACGGGTATTATGCTGATATCAGCCTAAGTGTCTACAAGGGTCTGTCGACGACTGTAAGGCAGCAAGTTATATGGGTTGGGCTTAAAACTTTGCTCGCTTCTATATTTCGGCCCGTGAGCTTCCCAGCGATGACTAAGGAGAGTTGGTCGGAAAGAATATGGTTGTGAACGACTCCAGGCTCTATGTCCGAACGTACTGTGGTACCAACCAAATGCATGTCCTCGGGAAGATGAATGTGACCGAGGAGTTGGACGTGAACAAAAAAGTGCACGACGAAATGGTTGATGTTGGTTAATACGAATAGCTGTGACCTGATTAGCCAACTGATCAAGTTGATCAGGAAAGGTAGACACCGAATCTGAGGTGTTTACGGAGGAGACGTTGGCGGAACACAGTTGGATTTCGAGCATTTTGTCTGCACTGCTGGTCGGTCCAGCTAGAGAGGCGCTATCGGGGATGGACGCCAGGATGGTTTGTACTTGTTGGGTAGGCATTTCAGAAAGAGTTGGTTGAATAAAACGTCATCTATGTTGCGGTCGCCAATGATATTATAAAGCCTCCGTAAAAGTTGAGATGGGGTGGACTCGTTCAGTGACTCTTCGCTGAGTAGCTGTTCCAGTCTTTTAAGTTCTGATAAACTGCGACGTTTAATGAGTGTAATGCGCAATTGAGTGTAGGGTTCAGTGTCGTCAGGTCTTCAGTATATCGCGCAAGTCTGGTGCTATCTCTGCTGGAAGCACGGCTAGAACGTGATAATACATTGTATGTTCCTCTATGATTCCACGGAGGGCGAATTGAGCTGAGACTTGTGTGAACCATATGGAGAGATCGGGGTGTCAAAGAGGTGAAAGATGGACGCAAGCAGCATTATTGTTTTGTTTGAATGTGATGGGTGTTAGAGAAATACGGAGATTTGGAGGTGATGACATGTCTATTTCAGTCGGGATCACCAAATTGTTGTGCACCACGTTACAAAATCAACCAGATAATCAGAAGACTATAGGCACTAATAACATACATGTTGTGTGAACGAGGTACGGCAAAAAGTAGATCTTAATTAGACAAAGTAAAATGTCAGGATGAAACAATTCAAAAAGCCTGACTCGTCACTCTGAATGAGAGTACAGCAGTTCCTCCAAATTTGTGCAGACGCATGTGGCGTTTCCTTTACAGGTTCACCTGTTACACTTTCTAAATTGTCCATGGCCCGGGTGTCAGTGACTGGATGTTTCCACGATGGGTCAACCTTTGCTGTTGTTTTCTCGTTTCGTGTTCGGTGTGCGTGTTGTGTACTCGTTTATATAGCTAGAGACGTTGAGGCGTGTGTGCAGGGTTAAACTTGTGACGTGGAAAAATAACAATCTGAAATCACAAAGAGTCGCCTCGACGCATACTAACAGGAGGTGAAATTTATTCGGTCAGCGTTTCAGGCAATTCACGATGTTGTCGTTGTTGTGGGGTAAATAAGATAATAGACAGTCTATATGGATGCACTAATAAAATTAGTTGCAGCGGCGAGTAGACAGTAGGGTAGCCGCTACAACCCTACGCTTTGGGAACCCATCAATCTGAAACGAAATCAAGTCGTTAAATTTTGAAGGTGGAGGGCAAAAGCAGACTGGAGGAGAGTAAAAGAGAGACATCTAGCCTGGCGCGCAACGATAAAACAGCGAGTTGCCAAAATGAGGAAAAACAACAACGAATCTATTGCAGGAGCAGGGTTGTCACGATCTGACCGGTCAAGTTTAACTTAAGTCTACGACCACCGACGAGGCCTATTGAGTCCCGGACTGTTAAGCTTATGGCCCTGGTTAAAACCAGCGTAAGTGTGAGTGGCGAAGGGGAGGAATCCGCAATGCGGATAAATGGTAGCAGGAATCTCATGTTTCGGTGTACGCTAGAGACCAGTGTAATCTAATGAATTTAATCTAGTGTAATCTAGAGACTTACTAGCAAAATTGCTGAAGTGACGTCTCGTGCGAGAGTTTCGTGCAGGAGGACGTTAATGCTAACGAACAAGATGGAACGCGGAGTGCACAAAAGATGACTGACTTTGTGTTCTTCACATATTTTTCACAATCACATGTCGATGGCCTCATGCAGTCGAGGAATCGGCCAGTTAGTGTGTTAAATATAAGAAGTAAGCCGCAGAGAAAGATGCAGAATGGAAAACTCACATGATCTTCCGTCCAAGCTACGCAAGCATATGATCTTATTGGCTCAAGGATTGAAGTTCAGGTTATAGTGAATTGCGACTTTTCAGAGGCGCGAGAGTGTAAATTCATAGAATGGAAATTATCGTCCCTTGGGAACTCGGTTTAGATACAAGACAATTTGTTTGTTGGATACTGAGGTGTCAGCAAAGACATCAGCCAATGCAGAAGCATTTTGGGAGGAATTTTATTTTTTTAGTCGTTAGCAGTGATGCTACATTTTGCATATCTAAACACTCATGTGTTCCCGCGCGATACCGTTTAATGTAACCATGCCCTATTGATATGGTCACACTGCGTCTATTTGATCACGCGGTCTCATTTAACTGTAACCAATCTACTGTCAGTAAGCCAAGGAACATAACCCGATGTGGTAGTGAACGATGTGAATATCTTTTGAGGGGGTGGCTAACCTTTTATATCGAGTTGAATTCAGCGTCGGTGCAGAATTGGGCATGATAACGCTGCTTCTACCTAACATATGACGAACGGGAGTTGGAAGAGTGATTGATCACATAAACTTATGGGGCTTTTTTCATTGAACGCGTAGGTTTCGATAACATTTATAACATGCGAAAGGTCACAGTTTTGATGATATAACCACACTATTGCATTTGGTCACGTATGCGATGAACTTATACAGATATGGTGAGTTTAACGGTGTCGTATATAGAGAATCGATACGAAACTGCATTGATGAAAGTATCATACGCGAAAATGAAATAGCCACTACTGTGGTTCACATGAGTATCCTGTTTCCTTATAACCTAATTTAAATATGAAATGGCAAACATCGGATGAGATTCACAGGACACATGTTAGTGCTGGGTGGGAAACTGCAAAGGTGGAATTTCGAGAAGGCATGGAGGCTATTGGTGAGGACCATTATCCTGTGGCGAATCAGTAACTTCACATTACTTTGTGCATGCGGAGGTTCTTGAGAGCCTCAGCTTCCTCAAATTTGTCACTAAGAAGTTGCTGTCAAAATATCTAAACCTAAAAATTGACCAGTAGTTATCTGTATAATAAAGAGTATGTAATTTCAAATACCACTCACGCAAAAATTGATAAGGATTTCTCAAGAATTTGGCCTGCACTATAAGGTAGCTTCTTCAAACGTTAAAAAATTAAGGTTAATGAAACGAAGCTGATTGTTATCTGAAAGTCTTTCAAACCAGATGA